AAAGGATGAAATATTATTTCATGAAGTCAATGAAAAATTAAAGAATTTCGTAGCTGTCTAGTGTCAAACCAAAGCATTTCAAAATTGTCAAAAATGAAAAAAGATTTTTCTTGCCTTGTAGTTGAAATTTTCCTTAATTTGGTTGTCATATTTAATTAATTTGGACGCAATTTCAATAAAAATAATATCTCTAAAATTAGCAAATATGTTAATTTTTTTTTTTTATATTAATTATACTAAAAATGTATTCATCCAATGTATATATAAGATTATTATATAAAGTTTGAGTTAAGAATAAATGCTTTTAGATAAAGATAAGGTAAGGTAAGGTAATCTTTGAAGATAACATATTTCAGTGAATGCATATTGGTGAAACTCTATTTGATAACACTTTTACTGCAAGTCAAATACAAACTGAAATCATAATCACATAAGATCAACCACAACAACTTAAATCGGATGGATCAAATTCGTTGGGTTAAAAAGACATACGAGTACACATAAACCTGCACACACCCGATCAGGAACTGGCAATAAAAATAGTAAGCAGAAACAAAATTTCTGTGAATACAGCGAGCGTGCAACCACGACATAGGCAAAGCAGACCACGTTAGAAGGGTCCAATGGTCGGTTGGTGATGATGTTATGTTCTCTCTTTAGTAATCTCTAAAGCAACCAAACCAAAACTCATATACTTCTTAACCAGTCTTCCATTTCTTTCTGTGCCAAAAACTTTAACCAAAAACGCTTCTCTGTTTTTTGTTCGAGTCCTTTGTTTTGAGTATCTGATGAGGAAACTGTGTCCAAATTTTGATCGTGAAGATGGGTTGGAGACAGTGCTGGAGGTTCCAATCCCAGAAGAGATGTTTACTACCAACAAGAACACACACAGATCATGGCAGAATATGAAGTGTTGGATTAAGCCATACAGTGAAAAATCATCGTCTTCTCCCTCCATGCCTGCTCTTTTTGGTAGCCGAAATGCTGAGATCCAGCTTCTTCTTGGTGTCGTTGGTGCCCCATTGATCCCTCTTCCCATCCACTCCGATGATCACAACCCCATTAATAAAAACATCAAAGACCACCCCATTGTATGTTTAAACAATCTTATTACGTTTATGTTAAATTTTAGCTAAGAGTACATTGAAAGAAACTTATAAAAGTGTTTTGTAATATACAGGATGCTTCAATGGCGCTATATATAGTGAAGCAGTACATAGCAGCAGTTGGGGGAGAGAAGGTATTGAATTCTGTGGACAGCATGTATGCAATGGGGAAGGTGAAGATGGCGGCTTCAGAATTTTCAACAGGGGAAGGGAGTTTGATCGACAAGGTGTTGAAAGCGAGGAACTTTAAGAATAGTGGTGGCGGGGAGATAGGTGGATTTGTGCTATGGCAAAAAAGGCCTGAGCTTTGGTGCTTGGAGCTGGTAGTTTCAGGCTGCAAAATCAGTGCCGGGAGTGACGGCAAGGTTGCCTGGAGGCAGACCCCATGGCATCGTTCTCATGCTTCAAGGGGTCCACCTAGACCTCTTAGACGTTTTCTGCAGGTAACTAAATTAACCCTCTTTCTCTCTCACCGTTTGATCAAATATCACATGATTATGCAGTCTTAATGATGGAGATTTCCCTTCTTAAACGTGCCAAAACTACTTGATTATACTTGTGTTACACATAAAGTTGATATCATTCATTTTAAAACCAACCAATTCCGTGCAAATAGTCCCACCTAAAATTTTCTAGTTCAGGTGTTTGATTAAATGATATATTTTATTTTTGTTGGAACCCTTTTCACTGATTTTCATAGTATTCTGTTTCTACGGGCAAATTTGCATAGCTGGATCATGTCGTTAAAGCTTATTAAAACCCCCAACTTTTTTCCAGGATTCTTTCACTTTTTCTAAAGATGGGGGCTGAATTCCATGTTCACTTAAAACTAATTGTTTTGCCCCATTTCTTACTTCTTGACCCATTTCACTTTGAGCTTTGCCCCACTAGATTTATCAATTTCTTACCTCTCGCCACGATTGGGGGCCAACAAACAACTATCTGGTGTTTGTTAGGTCTACCATACTGAAAAGGTCAACAACCGGAGAAAAAATTATATTAAAGTTTTGGGCCAGTCTATTGTTAGTTTCCATCACTTTTTATGTCTTGTACAAGGTTTAGCTTTGTTCCATTTGAGATTAGCCTAATTAACCAAGTACCTAATCACGTTTTTCATGAATTTGTATTGAAAATTACTCATAAGTGGTTCATTCTGAACAGGGTCTTGATCCGAGGTCCACAGCAAATTTGTTCTCCAATTCAATCTGCGTTGGAGAGAAGACGATCAACGATGAAGATTGTTTCGTATTAAAAATTGAAGCTGAATCCTCAGCACTGAGAGCAAGAAGTACTAGCAATGTAGAGATAATCCGTCACACAGTTTGGGGATACTTTAGCCAGAGAACAGGCTTGTTAGTCCAACTTGAAGACTGTCACCTCCTGAGAATCAAAACCGCAAAAAATGAAAGCATATTTTGGGAAACTACAATGGAGTCATTGATCCAAGACTACAAAATTGTTGATGGCATTAACATTGCACACGCTGGAAGGACTTGTGTGTCCTTGTTCAGGTTTGGAGAGAACTCGGAAACCCATTCCAGGACGAGAATGGAAGAGATTTGGGCCATTGAAGAAGTGGATTTTAACATAAAGGGTTTGTCCATCGATTGTTTCTTGCCTCCTGGAGACCTGAAGAATGATCAGGAAGATGGCTGCGGGATTGTAACAAAGAATGCGCGATTACCATTCAAGATTCGAACTGCTTCTACTTCTACTAGAGTTAGTGTTTCCAAAGTTGTCGCCCTTGACGATGCAGATTCAGATGATTCTGAAGATGATGATGGTGAAGAGTTGTAAATGTCTTTTCATTGTGTACATATTTTATATGACATTACATATCTATTCTTTAGTCAAATTTAGAAAATCTATAAGTTTTGAGTTTTTTATATCAATGTCAATTGAAGTTAGTAAAGAATGCAATGATGATTTTTGTAATCAAGAAAACTGTTAAAGTTCCGTAACAAAGAGTAGATTTTAGAATTATGAATGATTATGGGCTTTTTTTGGTAGATTATTTGAAAAATGATATTTTGAAAAATTATTTTAAGTTGAGTTAGGATAAAATTGAATAGGATAGGATTATGAAAATGTATTTAGTATAATATCTAAAAAATTATATAAGAGTTGAATAAAATGTTGAAAAGTTGTTGGTATATTTTTGAAAAACATTTTTTAAAAATATTTAGATTTTTTAACCTCTTACATTTGCTAATTTAGTTAAACATCTCATACAATAAAAGTTAGAAAATTAACAAAAATACCCCTACCCACCCAAGCCACTGTCGGTCATCGATCACCACTGCTAGACGACAATCGACAGTCATCGGAACAGTGCACGACTGGTTAAACCTGGCTGATTATGTGCCAATTTGGCATTTTCTGGTCAAATCCATTGTGGATCTGACAGAAAACGGTCAAAACTACTGTCAAAATCTGACGGTCGTCAATAGCTAGATCTGGTAGTTGTCAACAACTAGATCTTGCCGTAGATTTGATAATTTTTGGGCAAATCCATTGTGGATGTGACCGAAAACGACTATATCGGTGCACGTGGCCATATCCGACTGATTGTGCGTCGTTCTGACGTCGGCGGCCAGCAGTGGTTGCTAGCAGGTGATAGTGGTCTTGGGTGGGGATTAATTTTCAGATTTGAAGGAGTGAAAGGTAATTGTTTTTAGTTGAATATGGTTGGAAAATTATTTTAAGTTGAATAGAATAGGATAATAGAAAACAAATCCCCCTCTTTTCATTTTCAATTGAAAAAAACTTATTTGATTCAGATTAATTTTTAGAATAATGATCCTAATAAATAAACAAATACATATTCTGTTTTTTAATCCAAGTAGGATAACATAAAAATGATTCAAAAGAGTGAAACGAACATGGGCTATGTACCTCTTGCTCCAAAGAATATCATTGGGCTTAAGAACAGCCGAATCCGTATAGGTGGGCTAAAACTAATGGGCTTCTATTCTCTTGGTCTATTGAGCTAAAATCTGATGCGCTGTTGTTGTCTTGGCCGGACTTGAGCATGGCACGTGTAAGGATTTATTGCAGAAGAGTTAGTGCAACCGACTCGGGAAGATGAGTGATGACACTTGTGTTTCGGTGTTGCAGAGACACGAGAAAAGAGAACTGTAGAAGCTTACAGAACTCTCTCCGTTTCTCTGTTTAGATAAAGATTTCCTAAGAAAGCCGTGAACGTACGAGACTCCTCTCTTGCTTGCTATATATAATCGCACTTAGTACAATCAGTTTCATCAATCAAGCAACAATGGCTCTAAGTCTTTTCGGTGGCCGCAGGAGCAACGTGTTCGACCCTTTCTCTCTTGACATTTGGGATCCTTTTGAAGGCTTCCCATTCACCACCACGGTTGCCAATGCACCCTCATCTGCACGCGACACCTCAGCCATTGCCAACACCAGAATTGACTGGAAGGAGACCCCGGAAGCTC